TCAATCAAATCTAGTAAATAAAGAAGGAATTAAAGGAAGAACAATTATTGATTTCGTGATTTCGTGTATTTCGTCGGAAATTCAATCATGCTGGGTCGAAATGGTGAGTTCTTTGGGCCGACGGATATCCGACCCATTTTCCGATCCGATACCTAAATATTCGGCAGATTTTGCCCTTTTTCGACGAAATTTCCCGATTTTTAGAACTATGATCCTAGCAAGAATAGGACATCTAATAGAGTAAGAAATCCATGTACAACTCATAGTAGGACTCCTAAGTTGATTGACATGTAAAACCACTCTATAAAAGGCCTTGTATCCCAAGAGGAACAAGAATAACTTCTCTACTTGTAATTTTCCAATAGTTGAAGATCAATAAAGAAACCTTACAAGATATAATTGCTTCCTCCTCAAAATCAAGTCTTTGTTATTGTTTTCTACTAGTAAGAATATTTTCTACATTGTTTGGATCATGAGGTTTAAGAACAAAACATGTACACCCAAGGACTTTTGGAAAAATAGTTGAGGGTGCGACCATAAAGCTTCTTAAAAGAAGAGAGACCGACCAGAAATCAAAATAGTAGGAATCTTCTTAATCAAATGAACAACCGTAAGAACCAACACCCTTTATAGGCAGAGGGGTGCAATCAGAAGTGACAACTGGGAGGGAGGATGGTAGTGGGCATAAAATTTTGAAAGAGGAAGTATCATATGACATGTGTTCACCTGCACCTGAATCATATGTCCAGGTTCCATCAAAATTTTTTTTCACATAATCCCAACAAAAAGTTAGACTCTTCTACACTAACGTCTTGCATTGCCAATCTAACAAAACTAATTTGACTTTCATGGAGAAAATTAACAGAAGAATAATTATAATTACAGCAAGTGTCAACTGATAAAACCTTTGGGTGATGATACTAGAGGTTTAGGATTCAAATCTCGCCAACATTACCAAGTTACTGTTCTCATTAAAAATAGGCTTACCCCAACATATTTTTTTCCCACAGGTGTTAGTTGAGCTTTACTGGTAAAACATTTGGGTGATGATACCAAAAGTCTGGGGTTCAAATCCCGCCAGCATTACTGAGTTACTGATCTCATTAAAACAGGCTTACCACAACATTTTTTGCGAATAAGCCTATGGTTCAACAGTAGCATCCCTCTCTCAAAGTGGAGAGGTTGTGGGTTTGAATTTTGAAACACGTCGGCAATTGATTGTTTGATATAAGTTTCGCCACATAATTTAAATCCGATAGAGGTCCC